CCCACACCCACACCCACACCCACACCCTTCTTGTATAAATCATGAATAAATTTTGTACTTATTTGATGTGCTCAACGGTTTATTCATACTTTTTCTCAAGTCATAAACATACTCCTTCGATACCATCGCAGCATTCCCATCCAATAATAAAGTCCCACTCTAATTTCCACACAAAATGTCTTTTCATGTGTCTAAGTCACCTAGTGATCTTATTCGGGAAATATTGTGGATCACGAAGCAGTCGAAAAGCGACCCTTGGTAGATGTTTACCTTGTTTTAATATTATTTTGGGATCTTCCACATAGGTGTGAGGTGGGGTGTGGGTGAGTGCGGGTGTGGGTGTGGATGTGGGAGTGTGAGTGTGTGGTATGTGGCTGTGGGTGTGAGTGTCTTCTGTTGTTGAAGATTCCCATTCACACCTCCAACCCCACACCCCACACACCCACACCGGCTCAATTCGGTGCAAAATTTCATCAAATCTAGCATTAAGTTTTTGCAGAAACACCTTTAGATGATATTCCAGTAACATATGTGCATCGTCTTACAGATAACCTAAGCAAAATTCTAGTACATAAAAAACCTTCGAAGAATATTATTAACCTTTTACCGCAATAAAATAAAAGAATAACATAAAGGTAATAGAAAAAGTAGGAACAAAAAGATATACTAACATTATATATACAAATATAAAAAAAGAGGCTTTTTATTATAGAATTTGTGTTATAGATACATAGAGTTAACTACAAATATATCTGTACTTTTCTACTCTTCCCATGTGATAAAAACCGGATGAAAACCGGCGGTTAACCGCGATTTTATTGGTCCGGTTACCGGCTCCCGTCACTAAGATTTATCGCGGTTTACCGCTAAAATGAACCGGTTTACCGGATCGCCAATAAACCTTGACATTTCATTGCTTTGAATCATCGATTTGGCTATTTTAAACGTTTTTTTCTTCTATCTTCCCATGTCATAAAAATGCTCAGAAAAATCTCCGGTTTACCGCCGGTTTTGATAAATACCGCGGTTTACCGCTAAAAACGCTCCGGTATTTACGATATGGATTCTATCTAATTCTTGATATCTATACTAATGTCTATACTTTCTCTTACAACTTCAATTTCTATAACTTTCATCGCTATATTTTTGATTAATTTCTTATATATGTTGCCAACTGCGAATATATATCTAATTAATTAATAATAAAAAGTTATTTTTGGTTCACCATCTGACTCTTGACGCCTATATTATGTAAAAACAGAATATTTCTGATATCTACACTTCCACCTATAACTTTAATCTCTATTTTTTTGATTAATTTCTTATGAATATATCTGTAATGGATTTATTATTTTTTCTCTATCATTTGACTCTTGACATCTATGTTATGAAAAAGAATATCTCCAATTTCTATGTTTTTTGCTCCTTCTATATTTCTAATTTCTATATTTTGGTTGATTTCTTATGTACAAACATTGTCCACTACGAATATATCTGTAATTTATTACTTTTTTCTCTCTCTACCATTTTCCCCTTCTACCACATATGTTTTTCTCCATCTTCTGACTCTTAACATCTATATGATGTAAAATGAATATTTCTAAGCCCTATATATTGTATTTATCGAATAACTCTAAATTCTACATTCTTTGATTGATCTTTTATGTACATGTATTATCAATTATGAATATATCTGTATTTGTTCAAGTTTCTTGCTTTTTCAGTCTATGATTTTTTCTTTTTGTACATGGATATTCATGTTTAAATAAATTATAATCCTGCTAAGTAATTCAAGCATAATATAATGAAGTTGTTTGATAGTGTGTCAAAAATCTTACTGTGAATAAAAATAGTTATTTCTATTTCTTTAATGCCGCTATTGAAAATTAAAAGATGTCTCGAATAAATGAATAGGAATCGTTAGTATCTATAATCAAGATCATAGAATATTTGTTTTGTTGAATAGAAATTTTTTTTAAGGCTCGACTGTCGTCATATTATAGTCAAAGAAGAATAATATAAGAAATGAGTTTCATTTATTAGTTTGCATATTATAGTTCAAAATTTATTCTTATTTTAATAAGAAAAATTCACAGATAAATAATCTTTATTTGGAAAAAAAAAGATGAAGATACAAAAACTAGACTGCCATTCAGCGTTCCTCGCTGGATGGAATGTCGGCTGACTGCACGAACCCGAAAAATATCAGAATATCATTATAGACGATATCTGCTATTTTTAAATCATAGAATACCGTAGAGGAAGTCATAATGAATTTTATTTTTATTCGCGTTCACATATCTTCGCTCAGCTGGCTAGTGAAAGATAATGAATCTGAATCAGTTATTGCCACATAAGGAAAGTATCAGCTGTTAATTATCATTTTCGGCATTTTTGTATCTCCTGAACGGTACCAAATTTCGAAAAACGGATTTCAGATGTGCACTCGTCACGTTCTGACGATCTCGCCGAGCTTTTTTTCGACTAAAAATTATGCTTGGAAGCTGAGAACGAGTGACTGACTTGAAGTGTGACTCATGTGTTGAGAAGGAGAATTTACCATGGCAACTAACCGAGTGAAAAGCAATAAATTGGCGCTGCCTGCACTTCATGCAGTCAGCCGACTTAATAAATGTTTTACATCTTAAAAAAAAATTTGCTAAAATCAAACTAAATTTTAATAAAATAACAAGAAACATTTTTTTCATTAGAAAATAAATAGCAATGACCTGTACATTTATTTGATAACGAATGAGATATAATTAGGTATTACACTGAATTATAGTTACTTTTCATTTTTAGGAACAGATTATTCTTGTTAATGCATCTAGTTTGTTCTTTTTTTCTTTTTCTTTGAAAGACAAATAATTTTTAAAAAAATAAGAATCAAGATTTTATCCATTTGTGAGGTTTTTTTTATATCAAAATTCTTTTAATCTTTATCTTTTTTAAAGTAATATAAAGATAAATTAATAATTGATGATTAAACTTATCCTTGATTGTATAAATCAGCTTATATATCGTTGAAATTTTATTACAATTTGACTTATCCAAATAAAGTTGTATTTAATTCATTCATAAATCAATGTAATTCATTGGTTTAGATCTATCGTTCTATAATAAAAAGTCTTCTGTTCTTGATTCGTTCATTACACAATTTAAAGGTTCGACTAAGCATATAATACTTGTTCTATGCGGTCTTGCAGAAGAACTGACCATCATGGGAATCTGATGGCGGTGCAATAGAAATCAGCAAGAACAAGATAGGTTTTTTTCCGAATAAATAAACATATACTCGTTTAGATGTCATAAATTTTCACATGGAGTTTTTTATTTTCTAAAACTGATATAATGTGTTGTTATTTGTGAGTAGTATTAAGATCACAAATCGAATAGTTATCATGTAAAAGAGAACACTATTGTCGAATATAGAAAGTTGTAACGAATTGTTTTATTTTGCAGAAAATGATCACATCATGCAATCGAATTCGAGTTCCCAAAAAAAAAACAAATATTTTATATCAATGTATCAACGATTTTCTAATTTGATAATCCAAATTAAAATTTCTATTTTCCTGAATATGACATGTTTGTGAAATAAAATTTTTTTCTGATAAAGTTATAAAGACCTTCATAGGCTATTGTCTTTAATTTTTACCCCGGAACTTCTAATTCATTGTATGCTTGTAAATAAAGAAGGTTATTGTTTTGATAACTCAACAAAATAAACATTTCAATAGTTTGTTTCTATTTATTTATTTTTCTTCAAAATCTCGTCACCTAAAGTATTTATCCAATATAAGACTGATTAAACATGTATAAGCGAATATAAATTTATTAAAATTTCGTGTAAAAGGATATGTAGCTTAATGTTTTACGATTATAAATGTAGTTATTCTTATATAATATATAAAAATAAATTCTAAGGAGTTGAAAGAAGATTCTTTTTCTCGATGAATCTTTACCGTAAGCGTAAAAGAAAAAAAAAGAAACAGAAAAATAAATTCTTATGTGCCCAAGCATATATCATTTGAAAAGAAAATGAATAATTTTACGCATCACCACGGAGATACTGCATGGGTAATATACGATTATTTTTCAAATAAAAGTTTATATCTATATTTAGGTTATGACATCTACTGGTTTAGTATATATGATGACGCCTGCTTTAGCTTGTTTTTATGGTGGTTTAGTTGAAAATAGAAATTTTCTTAATCAATTATTTTTATCATTTGTTTGTATGGCTATTATTCCTATTCAATGGTGTTTATTTGGTTATTCATTTACTTTTGGTCCTGGAAATTCAGTATTTGGTTCATTTGAATATGCTATAGGACTTAAAACAGGTCTTCTTACTTTATATGGTGAAAATACTGACGATATTAATCCAATAGAAATACCATCATTAGCATTTAGTGCTTTTCAAAGTTCATTTGCAGTAATTACACCAGCTTTAATTAGTGGTGCTGTTGTAGGTCGAATGAAACTTATTCCATATATGATTTTTGTTTTTCTTTGGGCAACATTTTGCTATGATCCACAAGCAAGATGGATTTTTTCTAATCAAGGTTGGCTTCATCGAATGGGTGTTATGGATTTTGCTGGAGGTTTAGTTGTTCATGTATCAAGTGGAGTATCAGGATTAGTTGCTGCGTTGATATTGGGATCTCGTGCTTACTTTGATCCAGATGTAGTCAATGCTGGTCAGAGTAATCTTTCATATACTGTTATAGGTACTGGCCTCCTTTGGGTTGGGTGGATGGGGTTTAATGGAGGATCAGCACTTGCTGCAACTGGTAAGCATTGTTTGTTTTTAGAAAATCTTCATGAGAAACTCTACTGTTTATACAACTGATATGTTTCTTTTAAAGGTATTGCTGCTTTAGCTATTGTAAATACTAATATAGCTGCAGGATCAAGTATGATTATTTGGATTATTCTCGATATTACACGTAGTAAATCGAGAGGTCAAAATAATATTAATATATCTATTCCTGGTGTTTGTTCAGCAGCTGTTGTTGGACTTGTTGTAATAACACCATGTGCTGGTTATATTCAACCAGTTTATGCGCTTTTAGTTGGTTTAATTGGTGGTTTTGTAATCTATTTGTTTTTAGCTGGAAAAAAACGTTTTTTTCATATTGATGATACTCTCGATGTATTTAGTTGTCATGGTTTAGGTGGTTTTATAGGAACTATAATGACTGGATTATTTTGTCAAACTGATGTTAACAGTGGTGGTAACAATGGTGCCTTCTATGGTAATCCTATTCAATTAGGATATCAAATGTTTGGAATATTAATAATTACAGTGTATTCAATTGCATGTACGACAGCAATTTTATTACCAATGCATTTTACAATTGGTATACGTATAAGTCGATTAGAACAAGTTCGTGGTTTAGATAATGTTGCACATGGAATTATTGAGATAGAAAAACCACAAAAAAATCCTCAAGTAAAATTAGTGTCGATGAAACAAAAACTAAATCATACTAATGTATCATCGATAGTTCCTATTGAAAAATAATAATATGACTTCATTATTGTAAATATGTATTAAACATATATCAGTGTTGTGTTTTTTGTCGAAAGTTTTAATTATAAAATATAGATGTACGTGCGTTGCTGAATATTGTTTTATCTATTTTTATTTTTCATTTAAGCATCTTTCCGAGCTCGAAATCCAAACAAATTTCTTTCGACAAGAAAGAAAAACAAGATACCTATGACAAGTTCAAAATAAAAAGAATTTTGTCATATTATCCAAGAAAATAAATATCTAGAAAAAATTTTAAAATTCCAAAAATTGTTTGAATCTTAAGCAAACATTTTTTTTCTCTTTTCTTTTGAATAATTGTGGTCTGACTTGAACATAAAAACATGATTTCTATATATATATATATATAAACGTCTGCGTAATTTTGTTATTTCTACACGACAACAGTCAATTATTTTTGTTTAATTTAATGAACAAAAAGATACTATGAAGACAATGAATTAAATTTTTGTTAATATTAGTTAGATTATGCTAAAATTGAAAAGCCGCGTTTGTTGATCTATTAGCAAGTGATATTGTAGTTAATTTTTAGAAAACTTTCAAAAATCAAAATATTCAAAAGTAAGACTTCTATTACATAAAAGTTCTTATTCATGTCAAGTAATAAATATGAAGAAGAGGGTATTAGTAATTTACGCTCTGACCCACGCTGAGCGCCGTTTTACTTCGGAGTTATACTAGTCGATAGAACTTCAAAAGCTAAGTCTACTGAATCCCACTCCGAGCCATTTCGAAACAAAAAGTATGATGGAAAAAAATAAATACTTGAGGGTGTGGGTGAGGGTGTCGATGTATGTCATAGATAGGATCTCGATTCACACTCACGCCCTCAATTATTTGCAGTAGAAGTGAAGAATGTTTGTGTTTTTCTTGGCTATGGTGGCAAACACTGGAAAAAAGTAAATTGAAGAGTACTGCTTAGAATGGAATAACGTTACATTATAGAGCAATGCAAAGTTATTCACGCTTTTAATCTTTCTTTTTCTTCCCTAACCATCTCATTGTTCTCTATCATGTGACTTTATTATTTTCCCTGTACTTCACTGCCAGCAAGTTCTTTTTCTACATCAACAATCCAGTGGAAGTCTTGTATGACTTTTGGATGATTAGATGCAAAATTTTTTGAGTTAATTTCATATGCTTTCTTCATATGCTCTAATCCTTCCTTCACGTTTCCTATATTGTACAGAGACCATGTGGGTGTGGGTGTGGGTATTCATGTTATAACTATATCACACTCACACACCCCTCATCGATTTAGGGTAAAATACTTGATGAAAACTCAATGAATAAAGGTGAGGTGCTCGATTGAGTAACATTTGTAATAGAGAATAAACAGAATTATCAGGACATTAAAATGGTGATATATAGAATGAAATCAAATGGTGAAATATAGAAGTACGTGATACAGAATCTATATTGACAAAAAAAATGCTAAGAAAAATATGTCTAACGTTAGGAAATCTAGTTGGCAAATAGGTGAAGTCAATAGGAGACTCTTTAACAAATGCTTTGCATCGTAACGTATTTATACGATTATAAAATGAGAGATTGATGTCGTTAAAATAAGTTGATGGAAAGCAGATTTGATTATTATAAAAAGTATTTTTCATAGACATGTGGTAAAGGGTAGAGGAGTGATAAAATTCCAATCATATCGAACATATCATTGATGTTCTTCAAGCCAAAGTAAAGTTCGAAATGAATCGAGTAATTTTTTCACTTTCTTCTCTTTTTCTTTTTGAAGAATCGAAGATTATTTTCATTTCTAATTGAAATATTTTTATTTTTGGTACATACTATACAAGAATCTTTTTTCATTCATGTCCATCTTAATTAATATTTGTAGTTATAATAGTTAAATGCAATAAATTCGGCTATCTTTCAATTAAAGTTTTAGTACAGTCATCAACGGGACAGTAGTATGTAAATATTCATCATCTAAACAGTACATATAGATTGTCGAAAAATAGCAAAGAGAAGATGTATATTCAAATAAATGAAATAGATCAGTCAAGGTTCAGTTGTATATATATTAATTGATATATGTTTAATTGATAATACAATCACTTTGATATCAATGAATTGCAATTCATCAGATGAAAATTCATCTAACTTGAGATGTTTAAGCTTTGGTAAACTCCAAATATTATTAATTAAACAGTGAGCGGGTGTGGATGTGGCTGTGAGTGAAGAAAAGCACGACCACACCCACACACTCATACTCAGGGCCACACTCACATCCTGGAAGTACGACATTTTACGGCAAAAATGATGCTAACTGGGTTTCACTTAAATATTTTTAAGAAGCGTCTCGTCTTCTTTGTTAGGAATAGAACATAGTAGGATTCTAAAATCTTTCATTTATTCGTAAATGAAAAAAGCAAAACTTTCAAGAAAATGATCTGTTTGTTTTCAGTCTAAGAAGGCATTTATTCACGTTGTATAGCTAAACCACCACGAACACAATCCTTTTGTGTTTTGTTATATTCATTGTCTGGTCCTTTGGCATAATTTCCATTTCCATATTTTGTGTCAAAGAGCCGCGTTGTCCAGGATGTACAATTATCGCCATTTCTCCATTTGATCTTACTGAGCCAACCATCATTCTTAACCCACGATGGTGCTGCACTGTTTTTTGGAGGATCACCACGTTTAACTCGTGCTTCTAAAACAGAGAATATTTATAATAGTGTACTATTAATCAGATCGCCAATATATTTTCCTACCTCTTTCTTGTTTTTCAGCGGCATTTAATTCGCAAACTGCCAGCAGGAGAACAAGGCACAGACCAACAACGATTTTGATACTAGAAATTTCAAAGAACAAATGGCGTTCGATTGAAGGTGGTTTCAAGCCGGCACTTACAGTAGCATTTCTATTCTTTATTCTCACAATATTGTTTTTAGTTATAATTTCTTCTAAGTATATCACATTCTTTATATACAAGAGAGAAGCAATTAATTTCTTAAGAAACAATAGTCGCCGAAAAATTCAAAGCTTTTAATCCTATTTCTTACTAACATCTGTACGATTCATAATAACTTGTCGGTCTTTTTTGTCAAATAGGTACGTATATCATCAAACTGAGGTGAAAATCGTGTACATGTGGCTGCTGCACCATTAGTTGATAAACTTAGAAAAAGAACGCAGAAATACAGTCAAAATGCCATTCAAAAGGCTACTCTTCGTAATGAAATGAAAACAAAAACGTATCAAACCTATATAACCTTGAGAAAAGAAGAAGACTAATTAAAAAGAATACTAAGAATAGCATTCTTGGTATGTCCTTGACGAAAGATATCAAATTTTAAGCTTTTTTCTTGGAAAAAGAAGAAGGAAAAAGAAGGATGTGCTTTCATTTTTCGATAGTCACTCATACACGATGTGATTTATTGGGAGCAAATTTACTTAAGGTCGTGTAGAAAAAATGAAAGTGCATTCATTTTTTTCTTCTTCTTTTTCCAAGAAAAAAGCTTAAAATTTGATATCTTTCGTCAGGAACACACGAAGAATACTATTCTTATTGTTCTTTTTAATTAGTCTTCTTCTTTTCACAAGGTCATATAGGTTTGATACAATTTTGTTTTTATTTCATTACGAAGAGAGACCTTTGCATATCAGCAGAATACTGCTAGAATATTCTTGCAAACATGTCCTCGACTTCTTGTCATTGACAAAATGTCCTTCAAAATAAATGTCCTTGAGAATTGGTTCTTGGCGTTATGATCCTCCGAAAAAAATGTTCTCTATAATCAAAAAGTCCTTTCAGTAAAATATGAGCAACCCTCGGTAATAATGTTAATCATATAGTTTATTTTACTATGACGGATGGAATTTTATTTTATTTTTCGTTCTCAGCAAAAAAAAACAGTTCTCGTCAGAATTCTTGCACCATAACTTGATCCATGTACAATCTTAGACTATCGAATCACAACTCCAGTTGAACATCGGATGATCACACTAACACCCTCCCTACAGATCGTACGTTTCCAGATTAATAAATTTGAAATTTAAGAGCATCACTATCATGTAAGTGATAACCGTTCATTATTGTGATAGTCTTTTGTTGATGAATCTGGAGTGACAAATGAAGACGATTATAGAAGTGAAGAAGCCATTTTACGGCGATTATGTACTAAATTATGATGTAAAACAAACATAAGCAATAAAGAAAAGAGTTAAGTCTATCAATGTTACATAATAATATCAGTACGGTTCCGATATTAGTTACACTAGGTAAAACAGCAAGAATTTCAGCTGACAGGAAAGATTTGGGGTGTGGGGTGAGGTGTGGGTGTGAGAGAAGAGAAGATCACATCCACATCCACACCCTTGTACAGGATGATTCGTAAGAAGCTCTACGATAAAAAATTTGAATATCTCCACTATCTTCAATGTTATGGGGGCGGATCATTTTTTCTGTGATAGAAGAGACTTGAGAGTTCTTTTCCGTACAAAGAACATTTATAAATATTGCTTTGAAGTACCATCATTGTCTTCAATAATAAATTTTTATTCTTTGGTGTATTGAATATAGTTCTAATAGATCCATATATACTCAATTCCCTCTGCGACGAATGTATATGATTGTGTGTTTCATTTTGTAATGTGTGGATGTTACAAAACTGAGAAAAAACAATTATACATTACAGAACGAAACACATAATCATATGCATTCGTCGAAGGAGGAATTGAGTATACATTGATCTATTGGGTATGGATGAGTGTCGCTGTGGATGTGGATGTAGTTGTGTGAATGGCTGCTCCTGAGTGTGTAATAGAATAGAAGATTCACAACGACAACGACATCTATATCCTCTTTTGGGGAAACTTGCCTGAAGATGCACGTTAATTAATTAATCAGAACTAACTGAAAAATTGATATCATAGCTTTGATCATTAAGCTTCTGTCTTTGAATTATAATTAATAAGTCAGTTAAACTTTGTCTTTAGCTCCGTATGATTAA